ATCGAGCCTGATAAAGGGGACCCTGCGCGGCCCCGAAAGCGCACGTCTTCATGACATCAATAAAGTGGATTTGCACTGATGTGAATCTTCGTGCTGGAGTGCTGATGACATCTGCATCGGGTACATGTAAACCGTGCAAATTTTAGAATACTCAGAGAAGAGAAAATATCAGTAAATGACCTTACCTTCTACCTCCTGACCAATGGAGAGGCCAGCCCATTTTCTCTAAAATAAAGAAAGCAAAGTGTAAGTACTTAAAATGCGTTTCATCTAAACCTGGGAGAACAATAATAAATGTATACGATATATATTATAGAACTATAACATTTACCTATAGCTAACATAACAGCCCTACTATGGAAAAAGCCATAAAAAAAGCCTTTTATTAAATAAGTCATACATACAGGACCTACTGTGCGGTGTCGTGTCAGACAACAAAACATGCCTATAAAGAGAGTTTTTAAACTATATATGTACAGAATAAAAGAAGTAAAAGCCAGGTGTACATATCCTTTAAACCCTTGGTTCTCAACTGGTGGGTCGCGACCTCATGTTCAGTGGGTCCCCGCGTGCCTTTCACTTTTCTAAGTGAGAGGCTTCTCAGCCTCCCCCTAGTGCAGCACTGTCAGTTCTCGTGCCGAGCAGCCATTCAAAATATGCTGCCCGATACCAAGTGTCAGCTGGAGGTGGGATTTGAAAGGGTTATGGCCGCAAGGGAGCTCCATCCATAATTGCATTGCTTACAGCTCTCTTGCGTGCCCTGCAGAGGTGCCTGGACCGGAGTGATGTCACATTCTGGCTCCTGGCACCTCTACAGGGTGTGCAAGGGAGCTGTACAGGTGGATGCACACATGGATGGACCCCAGGGTAAGGATCCATTTCAGTTTTGGTAAGACAGGAAGACTGGTCTGATTTTTTTTTTCTAAACAATTTTTTGGAGTGCGTATGTGTGTGTGTGTGAGAATGTCAGTGTGAGATTGTGTCTGTGGTTGTGTCAGTCTGTGTTTTTGGGGGCCCATTCACACTAGTACAGTGCATTAATCGCACTGTCCCATGTAATTAACGCACTGTACCATGCAACCGCTCCTACCATGCATTCTGGTGAGAGAGGAGCATTGCCATTCATTGGAATGGCACCCCAAACGCATCTCCCACCCACAATTATATTGCCCGCATCGGAACGCGCGGTACCGCAATGCCATGCGTTCCATTACAGTTCAACTTGGCCTACAAATGAATGACCAAGGACAAAGTGTAGGTTCTGAGCTTACACAGGTTGAGAACCACTGCTTTAAAGGAAAGGGTGAAAATGCTTGGTGCTTGGATGTCATTTTGATCCGTTGGCGTCAGTTCCTTGAACCACTGATACAGAACAAGTATGTAAAATAAGAATTAGGACTCTGCTTGCTGTGTATGCACACGATAAGTGGCTTGGACAGCACTGAAGTGACACGACAGCCTGGAAACAAGCATTTTCTAAAAGAACTCCGCTATAAAACTTCTTGATTTATTTCTTGACGCGAACCTTTAATAAAACACATTAACATTAAGCTGATGCCAGTAGCGTAACAGCTGAGAAAAACCTTCCCTTCAATGTTCATGTTTGCTACTTAGCACTAGTAATGAGCTTGGGTTCGGTGCAAACCCAGTTTGCTTGAAGTCACCCAAGCCCGCTCAAAACTGCGACCTGCGTCGCAGCTGTATGTCACAAAGGAGGAGAATGACACTGCTGCAACTGTTTGGGCCAGAAGGGCGGGGGGGTGTCAGTGACAGATTTAAACGCGCTTGGGCAATCTCTGGTGAACCCAGCTCATCACTCCTTAGAGCAAGTGTGCTTGTTTCGCATCCAACGGTTTAAAAAAGCTCTTCAGTTTAAGGGCTTGTTCACACCATCTAGGAGGGGGGAGAAGCCCAGTAAGTACAGCAAAAGCTCAGGGACAGATAGCTGCAGTTATGGCAGATGGGGAACCCAGGGGAGAGGGACCGATCCAGCCAGCTCACAGTACTCAGGGAGTGAGAAGGAAGAAGCCGGCTGCAGTAGAAGGAGAAGCCCAGTAAAGACAGAAGCCTGGGAACATACAGCCTCAGGCATGGACGAGGGACCGATCCAGCCAGTTCACAGGGCTCAGGTAGTGAGAAGGGAGAAGCCCAGTAAAGACAGAAGGCTGGGAACATACAGCCTCAGGCATGGAAGAGACCGATCCAGCCAGTTCACAGGGCTCAGGTAATGAGAAGGGAGAAGCCCAGTAAAGACAGAAGGCTGGGAACATACAGCCTCAGGCATGGACGAGGGACCGATCCAGCCAGTTCACAGGGCTCAGGTAGTGAGAAGGGAGAAGCCCAGTAAAGACAGAAGGCTGGGAACATACAGCCTCAGGCATGGAAGAGGGAGAAGGACCGATCCAGCCAGTTCACAGGGCTCAGGTAGTGAGAAGGGAGAATCAGGCTGCAGCTGAGGAAGGAGAAGCCCAGTAAAGACAGAAGCCTGGGAACATACAGCCTCAGGCATGGCAGAAGGCAACTTAAGGGAAAGGGACCGATCCAGCCAGTTCACAGGGCTCAGGTAGTGGAAAGGGAGAATTAGGCTGCAGCTGAGGGAGGAGAAACCCAGTGAAGACAGAAGCCTGGGACCACACAGCCACGGCAGGAGGGAACCCAAGAGTGAGGGGCCGATCCAGCTAGTTCACAGGGCTCAGGTAGTGAGAAGGGAGAATTAGGCTGCAGCCGAGGGAGAAGCCCAGTAAAGACAGAAGCCTGGGACCATACAGGCATGGCAGAAGGGAACCAGCTTACAGGGCACTACATGAGGAGAGGAACCCGGGTCAGCTTCCTATAACTAACCGGCAGGGAAGAGAGCACTACTTACCACTCCAGGTGGAGGATAGGGTAGCTTCTCTCACATCAGATCGCCTCCTACCCTATGTGGGGGCTCCGATAGCCAGGGGAGACACTGTGGGGACTGTGATAGCAGATGGGGACACTGTGACAAACCAACCCAGTGGCCAGTCGGTCATATTCACCCCCTGTGAGGATAACTCACAGGCTGCTCTGGATCCAAGAAGGGGCTGTCACAGCCGAACTCGCAGGTAGCTAAGGATCTGCAAGCGCTCGTAAGCCGAGCTGGTGAGACTACAAAGATCTATATTATCCAGCCTGTCACCCAGACTGTTCCGGAAGACGAAAGGGAAAAAGAAAAGAACTATGATCCCCAGCGGGGAGCTAGGTCCTTACTCCTCGATGCTAGGGTAAAAAACGTCTAACAAGTAGGTGGTTGAGCCACAAGCAGGGGCGACCGCCAAGGTGGTGCTTTGTTGTCTTTTGTCTGCCTAGCATACTACTCCTGCAAGTGGCATATTAAGCCTTCTGTAAAATGAAGAATCGGCTGTGTCCTTCAATGAACGGAAGAGAAATTCCAATTTTGGTATGAGTTACACTTAAACACACCCATATAATATTCTTCCATCAAACTGATTCTTTTATATATACAGTATATCAGTAAAATGTACTATAAATGTTCTTAAATACAAAAATATAAATGTTCTTAAAATACAAAAATGGCAAATGAGGAGTACTGATCGACCACTGCTTCCTCCTTCTCTGCCTGGCAGGGCACACACTTCACTTACTTGTTGTATCTACTGCATTGCCCTAGTCTGTAAATAGGTACATGGACAACACCTGCACGTACTCTATCTGGTTTTGCTCTAAATGTGTTATCTTGCAATAGGAATTGTATTACTTTACAGTGTAGAGTGCCACAGAGAAAGAAGATGTAATAACAATAATCAGAGGACAGCCGAGACTAAGATGACACTTACCTGAGGGAGGCTGAAAGCAATAGTTCCCGGGACCACTGTGTGGTGTGTTTTAACGGTGAAGATGTACCGATGGTGTGGCGAAGTCCTCACAGACACTTGCCTGGCAACAAGAAAATTCAAGTTAAATATGTTAGACAGTCAAGTAGAAGATTCTGTATGAATGCCTCTATAAAGGTTGGATTATTTACTAAAAGGTCCAAAAGGAACATATATTAAGAGATCATCTCCCATACTGCATTAGGAAAAATAAACTGAACATTTGACTGAAAACTAAATGATAATAAATAGGGATGCACCGATACCGAATATTTGGGTGAGTACTCCCCCAAATGCTCCGATGCCCGAACTTCCGTTATCAGGAAGCTGGGCAGCGAGTCATTACATGTTGCCCAGTTTCCTGAATGGCATGAAAGCTGGCTCCATGCTCCCTCGTCACTTGGTGACAAGGGAGCTTGGAGCTGGCTTCCTAGCCAATCAGAAAGCCGGGCAGCGTGTAATGACTCGCCGCCTAGCTTCCCGATTGTAGGAAGCCAGCCG